CTTTTGCAGGAAAATGAAATATGTTTCCGACGTCTTAGAACAAAGAAACGAAGACATGAAATATGGTGGACTTCCGAGGGGGAGGACTCGTGGCGTATTATGCGATATGGAAGATGACAAATGCACTATACCGATGTAATTTTCCAACGATAAATCTTCTTTCGTCCGAGGAAATGACTCCGCTGCATACAGACGTGATAAATATGCCAATGTTTTCTCGCAATTAGCAATAAGAAAAGGAAAAGAAGAATGGTAATTGTCAGCAATCCGCGACCGTATTGGCCGTAGAAATTTCTCTTCGTGCAGATTCGCACAACTAATTCAGCTATCAAATGAAAATATGTAATCCCTTAACGTCTTACTTTACTTTACGCGTGGTAATTGATTTTCTGCTAATCGTCGATTATCTTTCCGTCAAATTCCTGCAACATCACTTAACAGATACAACGTTGAAATCGGATGACGATGTTAGACAATCAGAGAGATTTATTAATTTAACATCGTCGCGTTTGTCGTCGCAAGGCGTACGGAAGTTGCCACAAAGACAGCTTGGAGTCGTTAATAATAACGGTGAATATTCCAATGACGAAACTCTGGTAATTATTTTGTAATAAAATTGTGATTTTACTTGAAATTAACTGTGTCTGTGCGTTCGGTGTACAGCGAATATTCTTGAAATACTCGCTTGAAGAGCTTGATGAGAGATTGGTTTACGGAAATTACGAAATACTCGTTGACTCGGGAGCGCTCGAACTTCGCGCACTTCGAGCGTACTTCACGATATCGATTCTTAATTACTACGAACGAAGAGCTGCCAGAAACTTCGATAATTCTATTTTTATCGAGCAACCATCAATTTTACTATAAACTCTGTATTCCAAGAAATGGCAAAACGTAGGGACATTCTCCGATTCACGCTCCCAAATGATTCTTACGAATAATTCATCGGAACAATGTGTGTCAATTGTCATCTTTTCATTGTAAATATCAAGTGAAAATTTCGTTCTCAACATTTCCAACTTGAAAACGTTCTGATTATAAATTCAAATTCTTCGTATTAGAAAGTATATAATATACATACGACCGATAATAGAACTAAATAATAATACTAATTACTACGAACGAAAAGAGCTGGCAGAAACTTCGATCATTCTATTTTTATCGAGCAGCCATCAATTTTACTATAAACTCCGTATTCCAAGAAATGGCAAAACGTAGGGACATTCTCCGATTCACGCTCCCAAATGATTCTTACGAATAATTCATCGGAACAATGTGTGTCAATTGTCATCTTTTCGTTGTAAATATCAAGTGAAAATTTCGTTCTCAACATTTCCAACTTGAAAACGTTCTGATTATAAATTCAAATTCTTCGTATTAGAAAGTATATAATATACATACGACCGATAATAGAACTAAATAATAATACTAATTACTACGAACGAAAAGAGCTGGCAGAAACTTCGATCATTCTATTTTTATCGAGCAGCCATCAATTTTACTATAAACTCTGTATTCCAAGAAATGGCAAAACGTAGGGACATTCTCCGATTCACGCTCCCAAATGATTCTTACGAATAATTCATCGGAACAATGTGTGTCAATTGTCATCTTTTCGTTGTAAATATCAAGTGAAAATTTCGTTCTCAACATTTCCAACTTGAAAACGTTCTGATTATAAATTCAAATTCTTCGTATTAGAAAGTATATAATATACATACGACCGATAATAGAACTAAATAATAATACTAATTACTACGAACGAAAAGAGCTGGCAGAAACTTCGATCATTCTATTTTTATCGAGCAGCCATCAATTTTACTATAAACTCCGTATTCCAAGAAATGGCAAAACGTAGGGACATTCTCCGATTCACGCTCCCAAATGATTCTTACGAATAATTCATCGGAACAATGTGTGTCAATTGTCATCTTTTCGTTGTAAATATCAAGTGAAAATTTCGTTCTCAACATTTCCAACTTGAAAACGTTCTGATTATAAATTCAAATTCTTCGTATTAGAAAGTATAATATACATACGACCGATAATAGAACTAAATAATAATATTAAATAATGCAAATAAAAAAGATTGCAGATGACTAATTTTGAGTGACATTAGTGTCGATTTTACTAACGTTGTAAATGTCCAATGAAACTTTCTACTCATCGACCACTTTAACGACAGCGTTCATGCACTTGGTTTTAGTATTAATCACCAGCCTCCGTGAGTTATGTGAAGTTATGAATTATGCGAAAACTTGCTTTTCTGCGTTAGATTGCAAATGTTGGTAAACGTTTGAAGTATGTGCGTTTCAGGTCGTACGGTCGTAGATCCTCTCAACGTACGAAGTACTAAAAATCTTATTTTCTCTAGAGTATCGCTTGCAAATTACACAAACTTTTCTATTCTTCAACGTTCACGCCATTTTTCTCATTCTATTTATCTTCTTCGTTCGTATTCTTAATTCTTAAATTACTTAATAAATTCTTTCACGCAAGCACAAATTATAATACACCTTGTCGCTCTTACGGAACACATGTCGGTCACGTTTAACCCTTTGCACTCGAGTGATGACTCGGAGGCACCACTAAAATTTGTTTCATCACGTTTTAAGATAATTTGTATAACAACAAAGTTCAGATTCAAAAAATTGTTAAGAATGTGATCGTTGCGTGACTTCCAAGAGTCAATTTCATATGCACAAAATGCATTTCGCCATATGAAATAAAACCACTATAAGTTAGAAAAATAATTGTATATTTACAGTTAAAATAGCTTCGAGCGCGAAGGGTTAACGTTCTGCAGATTTACTATGAAACAGGATAAACGTTTTCAACGCGTTCTATTGCTGTCGCGAAACTTTTTTTTGGTCCACCCTCGAAAACTCTAAATATTGAACCGCGTGCACTTCTTATTCGAATAATCTCGCAGCCGTATCTCTTGCTAAACATTTCCCCAACGACACAACTACTTGACCACGGAGTTTCTCGATCGCTTCCTCTTCCTGACGTTTGACATTTATCTTCGATCGAGTGCAACAGACTGAAATCAAAGGCGAACCACTCAGGGATCGGAGATTAAAGCCAGGCGCAAAGAGAGATGGAGAAAGAGATCTACAGGTGGGACATTTCCATTCCTCCTAATTTCCAGCAGGACTCGTTTCGCCGGCCTGGCAAGGACAACACTTCCGTCAGCTTTCTATTCGGGTATGCGATCATCAAAGTAATCGCGCGGCAGTCCAAAAATACGTTGCGTGTTGCGAAGCGTGCGATCCTCGCGGGTCTACTATTCCTCTTCGAAGAGACCGGATCGCGGCGCAGCGCCGAGCCGGGTCGAAACACCGGTGGAATCGATCGCGAAAGTTTAATTAATTATCGACGCGTTCGCGAGCCGGTGCTAATTGCTTTCTCGAGGCGCGACTCCGAGCGTCGTCGTGATTAAAGCTTCCGGTACGAGGCGTGCTGACCCAGGGCTAATATTAAGAGTTAACCCACGCGAGTTTCGCGGATGCGCGAGGCTACTTTCATCCTCGCTGGGAGCGACAAATTGCCTCTTCTCCGATCCAATAAATCAGCCCGCGTGGAAAGAGAGGCCTCGCGGAAATAAAAATGGAGAGGCCGACGCGACAAGTCCCGCGCGTCACCGAACCGCCGGCGATATTTCAAAGAACTCTCTTCAGAAACTGCTTTTAACGGCGGATTTTGCTTGCTCTTTTATCAGCTTCTTCGGAATTTCGTTTTCTAGGAGCGTCGACAGAACGTCGACAGCTCGTGACTTCGATAGAAATAAAACGGTGGAAACGTTGTAGAACAGAACGACGTCGACGCATTAATTAGGTTTACTCTAAATATGAAAAGAAAAATCGCCTCTCATTTCCCTGCAATCCCGTCGCCGCGCAAAGAGAAAGAAATTAATTTCCCGTTAACATAATACGAAAGAAAGAGTCTCGTTATTTAACTCTATTAGAAATGTCTCTGTAAAATCTCGAGTCAGAATTTATGGTCGTCGGATGCCGACGTGCATGTGCAGCTTGGAACTCTGAAGGCGATTTTCTCGATGCAATGTTTCCGCAGCTGATGGATTAAAAAGTAATTACTGGAATGATCAGCTTAGAAGTTTAACTGCGCCTTAAGGCGGCGTTCTATTATCGTTTGACCTACAATTAGAGCGGCGAATGGTATACATTTTTGTTTTAAATATTGAAAGTACACAATTAAAAAGAGAAAGACGTAATTAGTATATTAATAACGCCATGCCGATGTTACGGAATGTAAATTCGATCGAGAAACATTTTGCTTCTGACAACACGGACGTGCGACTTGATTGACAGTAACAACAACTTCCACAAATTTTTCGTTCAGCTGGGAAGCTTGAAAACGTTCGCGAACGAGAAAGTTCACCGAAGTCTTCGGCTCAGCTGAAGTCTTTGATTTCTGATTCCGAAACGATGGCGTAATATTAAGCGCAAGATTAGCATGATGCATTTAGACGCGCTTTGCATAAATGATTTAAGACGATCAGTTAACTATCTACCTTCTTACTATCCGAATAAGTAACGTTCGCCGCATAAAATTTGTTTCCGCTCTAAACGGCAGATAAATTCTCGGATATGCTTTATGATCGCAATAAAAGCGTCAACGTCTAATAAATTATACCGTTTTGAATGCGCATATTAACAGTTTCTGTACAAAAATGTTCATACAAAAACAATAAAATTAAAGGCGAGAAATTAAACCTCGTACTTTCAATGAATATCGAAAACCGTCTATTTCATCTCCAGCATTTAAATAAATCTCGCGTACGCGTGCACGCGGGTTTCGTGGTACGTGGTTCTGCAACTGGAAAACAAGCGAAGAATCCAGCCATCTCGAACACCGATATCTTTCACTCGCAATCCGGTGTGAAAGATCACGAACAACGGGCAACGCAAGCGGTCACTAAGCGTTCTATCGTTCGGAAATAGTGCTGTTAGAACTTTACTACGAAGTTGAAAGCTCACCTGACAGTTGTCGTTCCGATTGCGAGCGTGGCTGCTGCAGACTCTGAAATCGAACAGAGGGATATCATTAATTTCCGTTCCGAACAGTGTAGACGTATTAATTACTTCATTGTCTTGCAAATACGGATACCCAGGCAGTCGTTACGTAACACATTACATCACTCAAGAATCATGATTTTGTCCTGTACTTTGCCATCGGTTCTATTTTTCTGATCCTTTTTTATAATCTCGCGTAGATAAATATTGAATAACTTAATTTAAAAAGCTGTCGATCGTCGTATAAAAAAATATAAGACGTTTGTAAATATAAGTTCTAACAGAATTGCATCCTGCGTGTATAGTCGAAAATTGTTGTGCTCACCTTACGAATGTGTTGCACCATAAATCTGGTATTATTTATAAATAAATTATCGCTAAATACACATATGTCGTTTTCGTGACATTTTGTCCGGTTATTCCCGTCGCTTTTTCTCCTTCTCGTATCAACTGTAAATTCATCAAAGCGCACCATTATCCTGTCGCGTTATCATCGATTCAAACACGATAGTTCTGACGTGCGTTGTGGCACTGACGCTTTTATCTAACCATAAACTGCAACGGAAGATTTACGGATTCGTTCGCATTGCATGCCCGATGGCGTCACGAAGATTTCATCATTTCCTACGAAAGATATACTATAACATAAATTATTACTTGCAAAAGAATATCGCGGAAAAATTCTCTGCCAAAAGCAATGAACTATTAACACATTTTGCGCTATTTTTATTTGGGTTGCACGTAAGGTGACACGAACTAAATTGACGTGCTGAATCGTAACAGCATAGATGAGAAAGAAAACAATACATTTTGCAAATTTTTGATAACTTTACGTTATGTATTATGTCATGTTATTCGTTCGAAAATGACTTGAAAAATCATCCAGTCCACACAAATCTTTAGCTTATTCTTTACGCGCGATAAATCGTCGAATCTTAACAAACAAAAACATTAAAAAAATGTCTTCCACGCATCATATTTAAACATTCCTTTTGCAACAGATATTAACGGCGCAAATTCGAACAAACACTCTGTTAAAATCCAAACATAACGCGAGCGTTCCTAATTAATTCATTTAATAAAAAAAAAACGCTTTGAAGAACCCTCACACTGGCGTCGACATTACGAACATTTAACATCTGTAATGAAATATTTTCCGTCGATCGTAGCGAAGTGGTTTTACCGCGGCAATGCACGCCGAAATCATTTACGGAAATGATGCTCGCTGAAAATGATAAATCCCATTAATCCGTGTTTGGGTGGATTAACGTGGTCGACGGGTTCCAGCAGAAGTTTCGGCCGCGATAAAACAGTGCCGGCCGGTGCACAGTTGCTAATTGAATTCGCCTGGGCGACCAATATCGAGCAGATTTCCAGTATAAAGTTACCGAAGGGGCTGATGAGTAACGGTCGCGAGCCTGAAATTACATTCCGAATCGTTTTGCCTCGTTAATTGACCGATGCGCGAGCGACCACGCGATTCGCCGCTACGCAACGCGCCGGCGACAGCGACGTCCAAATTGCCGTGGGCGGACATTATTATCATATTTAACGCGGCTATGTATTGGGTTAAAGCGGCGGGGTTTCGCAGAGGCGTGCTTTAGAAAAACCACGGGGTTATCCTTCGCCGATGGGAAACGCGTGGAACGGAGACTGGAGAGGGCGAACCATGACCCACATGCGATATCGAGCCAGGCCAGCGTCGAAACAAACGAACGACCGTGACCTTATCTCTACGCCATACTGCCACAAAACGCTCATCGATTAATGTTAGCACAAATAATTTTATAAAAAGAGCGCCGCGTGGGCTTCCTACGCTTTCCTGAAAGGTAAACAGGAAAATGGCCACGATTACTCCAACGCGTTCTTAACAGCGAACCTACCACGGTCAAAATCGCCAGCTTCTTATTTTACAATTCTGCAAGCCGTAGACGCACTTTCATGGCTAACGCTCGATTAAACTATATATATTGGGTCTGGGAAAAAGTTCGTGGCGTTTCCCGATGGACGTCGTCGATTGTTAATAACTCACGAACAACTTATTGCAACGATACCATTAAACATCGTGGTGGTGCAGTACTTGGAAAGTTGTTGGCCTTTGAAAATGGAGAGAAATAATGAGAAATTTTGCTATATTTTACAATATTATTTTGACAAGAAAAAGAACGCAGCGGAGGCTCGTGAAAAAATTTATGCTGTGTACGGTGAAGGTACATTATCAAAATCAGCTGCGCGGAAATGGTTCGCTCGCTTTCGTTCTGGTAATTTTGATGTGAAAGACGAGTCACGCTCTGGTCGTCCAGTTACTGAAAAAGCTAATGAAATTGTTGAAAAAGTCCAGCAAGATAAGCATATTAGCAGTGTCGATATCGGTATGGAACTAGGCATTGACCACAAAAGTGTTTTCAACCATTTACACAAAGCTGGATGTTTACAAACAGAAGATGGATGTTTGGGTTCCTCGTGAGTCGAGCGCGGAAAACACGATGAATCGAATCAACATCTGCGATGCGCTGCTGAAACGTAATGAAATCGAGCCATTTCTGAAATGTGTCATAACCGGTGATGAAAAATGGATCA